CAGAGTGGTGGTGCCGCAGTGGATAACGCACTGCGCTACAAATCCAGCGACCCGAGTTCGATTCCCGCTTACGGCCACCAACAGCAGTGACAAACGTTGGACTCAGGTCCTAAGCAGAGGTCGCAAACGAGTTTTGATTCCTTACCCGTACCCGGCCGCACCAGGGTCGCAAACGGGTACCCGTACCCGGCCGGGTATGGGTACCCGTACGCTACCCGTACCCTACCCGAAATGAGTGACAAACGGTTACTCACCAGTGACTCACGGCCTACCTGTACCCGACTGCACCAGGGTCGCAAACGGGTACCCGGTTGCGACCTCTGGTCCTAAGCCTCCCTTAGATCGACTCGGCCTCAAATGAGAACCTGGTGCGGTGTGTCAACATCGCCACGAGGGGGGACGAAGGCAGTCAGGCATGATGCTGGCCACCATACCAAGGTCCCGCTGAACTACGTAGCTCTTCCACCAATGAGAGTTCAACGAAGTGGCTTATCGTGTACATTGACAGGTTTCGTGAGCGACATCAGCAGCGGTGCTTCATCCAGCTGTGGATGGGCCATGGATAACAATGTCCGGGCCCTTCGCCCAGCAGTGGATAGACCAAGGATCATGATGTCGAGGCGATATTCCAGCAGTGGATACGACCATAACTAAAGCTGTCGAGGCTTTAATCCGGCAGCGTATTATGGTGAATGAGAGGCCTTCATCCAGCAGTGGAGAAACCATGCCGAGTGATGTAGGGGAACCTTCGTCCAGTTGTCTTATGATGAGTGGGGAGCAGTCATCCAGTAGTGGATCGATCATAGTTCATGATGATGTTGAGGCCTTGATCATTTGATCAGGGGAGTGGATTATGCCACGTGTCATGACGAATGGGGAGGCCTCAGCCTAGCAAGTGAATGGACCCACAGCTTTCGTGACTGCAGGGATTCATATTCTTGGTTCTTTCGGTAAAGTCACGTAGAAGGGAAAGAATAAAATAAAAAAAATTAAACAATAAAATTCTCACGACGATGTTCAAGTACTGCGTGTGTTCGATGTAGACATGATTCCCTGCAAAGGGTTTCTGCTTGGTTTTTGAACATCTTAACACCTGATTTAAAGCTTTCGTGACTGCAGGGATTAATATTCTTGGTTCTTTCGGTAGTAAAGTCACGTAGAAGGGAAATAATAAAATAATAAAAATTTAATACAATTCTCACGACGTTTCGATTGCAACACAAGCAATCATCATCAGGTGTTAAACTCGCCGCTTTTTTCAAAAATTGTCTTGCTGTGGTTTTCACGCCTGATGATGATTGCTTGTGTTGCAATCGAAACGTCGTGAGAATTAAATTGTTTATTTTTATTCTTTTATTACTTCCCTTCTACGTGACTTTACCGAAAGAACCAAGAAGATGAGACCCAAGGCTGCCAACGCGTACAGATCCACCCCGTATTCTTGTACAGGATCATTTGGGGTTTCAGGTCCATACAGCGTCCAGCCGTTTCAGTACGGGCAACATAATGTTTCATCTTCTTGGTTCTTTCGGTAAAGTCACGTAGAAGGAAAATAATAAAATAATAAAAATAAAACATAACAAAATAATTCTCACGACGTTTCGGCCACAACGCAAGCAGCCGTCTGCGTTGTGGCCGAAACGTCGTGAGAATTGTATTTTATTTAGATTTATTTTCATTATTTTCCTTCTACGTGACTTTACCGAAAGAGCCAAGAAGATGAATCCGTGCAGTCACGAAAGCTTTAAATCGAAACATAATGTTTGTCTATTTGTTTGTGTTTCTCCCTTGTGATGGGACTTTGTAGAATGAACGTTGAGATGTATAGGGGCACGGGGTGACCAATAAGATCTCTAAATTGATCCGTGATAAGATAGGGCACTGATAAGGGGTTGACAGGTATGCAGTAGCGGTGTATAGTGCCGTGTACAGTAGTGTCGTGTATAGTAATGTAGTTTCTAATAGTGTAGTGTATAGTATCATACCTTACACTATGAGACATCTCCTTTACCAGTAGCAAAATATAGTAACAGGTTTTGACCCTTTCAACTGGTACAAAAACTGACACCTTTAGACAAGGCATCATGTTTGCAATAACCACAACACAAGCAGTCAAAATGCAAACAAAAAGAAACAACTCTTTTTGTTTGCATTTTGACTGCTTTTGTTGACTGCTTGTTCTAGATTTGAAGCTTTCGTGACTGCAAGGATTCAAATTCTTAGGTTTTTTCGGTAAAGTCACGTAGGTAAACATTTTTTATTAATAAAAGTAAAATAAAATAAAAATCATGTTTCGGAGGCAACACAAGCTTCCGTTTTCAGGTGGAACCGTCACAGTACGATAGCTGTATCAGCTATCGTGATTTTTATTTTATTTTTATTAATTTAATTTTTTTACCTACGTGACTTTACCGAAAAAACCTAAGAAATTGACTGCTTGTGTTGTGGTTATTGCAAACATGATGCCTTGTGTAAAGGTGTCAGTTTTTGTACCAGTTGAAAGGATAAAACCCTGTTACTACAGTATCATACCTGTCAACCCGTACGGTTTACCCCGTATTCTTGTCCAGAGAAATTGAGTTATGGTCCATACGGCGTACACAGCCGTTTCAACACGGGCAAAACATGTTTTATTTGCGTTTCTCTCTTGTGATGGTGTGACTTTGCAGGATGAACGTTGAGATTTATAAGGGACACGGGTTGATAAGTGTCTGAATTGGTCTGTAACATGGTGGGGCACGGATAAGGGGTTGACAGCTATTTAGTAACGTAGTGCAAAGTGTCGTGGAGTGAATAATGTAGTGTATAATGTAGTGTACAATGTAGTGTACAATGTAGTGTATAATGTAGTGTAGTGTACAATGTAGTGTACAATGTAGTGTACAATGTAGTGTACAATGTAGTGTATAATGTAGTGTACAATGTAGTGTACAATGTAGTGTACAATGTAGTGTACAATGTAGTGTACAATGTAGTGTATAATGTAGTGTATAATGTAGTGTATAATGTAGTGTACAATGTAGTGTACAATGTAGTGTACAATGTAGTGTACAATGTAGTGTATAATGTAGTGTACAATGTAGTGTACAATGTAGTGTATAATGTAGTGTACAATGTAGTGTACAATGTAGTGTATAATGTAGTGTACAATGTAGTGTATACCGTAGTTTAGTGTACAGGACGAGCGTTGAGATGTATAAAGGGACACGGGTTGACCAAGAAGGTCTCCGAATTGGTCTGTAACAAGCTAGGGCACTGATAATAAGGGTTGAAAGTTCATGTAACCCCACAATGATGATGCTGCGGAGGCTGCAACTCGGCAAGCGGATAGGCCGGTCGCTCATAACGGCGGCAAATTAGCATCACTTTAGCCGTGGCGGAAACAACCGCGGCTCACCATGGACCGGCGTCGAGAAGCCAGTGGGGTCCCGATGACAACGAACGTACAAGGGCTGCCTTTGGCGTCATCTAGCAGTGGAATTTCCTGCAGAAGGCTATCATGACAGAGCGCCTCGAAAACACCCTCCCGCCCCGCGCCGCCGCGAAGGCGGAGTGAAGAAGCCCGCGCGCGGCGTTTATATAGCGGAGCCCCCCCCCTCTCCCCCCACACGGGGGGAGAGGGGGGGGGTGTGGGCGGGACCCTCCACGCGAACCCCCCGCGCGCTCATTGGACGAGCGCGTTGGTCAACCGCGGGTCGCCTCGGGCTGCGCGCTCCGATTGGTTGGGCCGCTCGTCGATGGCCACGCCCACTCGCCACCCCCCCCTCTCCCTCCCCACGCGCCCCGCACGGTTAGCCCCGCCCCCAACCGAGCGACGCCATTTTGAAGCGAGGGAGCGGGAGAAGGAGGTTGGAGGTTTTGGAACAGCTGAGAGCGCCGGGGGCAGCGGCGGGCAGCACAGCCGGGCAGCACAGGGGGCAGCACCGGGGGCAGCACAGCCGGGCAGCACCGCCGAGCAGCACCGGGGGCAGCACAGCCGGGCAGCACAGTGGGCAGCGGCGGGCAGCACAGCCGGGCAGCACCGGGGGCAGCACAGTGGGCAGCACCGCCTGGCAGCACCGCCGGGCAGCGCAGTGGGCAGCGGCGGGCAGCACCGCCTGGCAGCACCGCCTGGCAGCACCGCCGGGCAGCGCCGGGCAGCACAGCCGGGCAGCGCAGTGGGCAGCGCCGGGCAGCACAGTGGGCAGCGCCGGGCAGCACAGTGGGCAGCGCCGGCGGGCAGCACCAGAGAACCCGGGACGAGAAACTCTGGGCCGGATCCAGAACCTGGGGCGGCGGTGGGGGGGGGGACGGACCACGGGACCACGGACTCGAGGCACAAGCAAGGGAACCAGGACCCCCCCCGTCACCGCCGCTGCTGCTGCAAGACCAGGGACCCCCCCCCACCCCCCCCTGGCGAGCGGGGTCCTGCGAACCAACATCTCGCGACTCGGGGACCGGGGAACGGAGATCGGGACCAGGGGGGGTCCCCCTGAATCTGGTGACCGGGACTTGGGAGCGAGGTTCGTAAGCGAGGAGGGACTTCTGATGCCCGAACCCGGGACCGGCATCGCAACAGCCCGGAGGAGAAGGGCGCTCCGGGGTTAGAGGACCGCGCGGAGAAGGGCGCACACGAGGTGGGGTGGGGTGGGTGGGTGGGGGGGTGTGTAGCCGTCGGAACGCAACCGCGGACTGAGATCCGAGGGGACCACCCCACAGCACCGTTGAGGACCGGTCCCGGAACGTCGGCTGTCACCGGGGGGGGAGGGGGGGTGGGGAGTGAGCTCTCTAACCGGGCTGTCTGGAGTCGGACAGCGCTGGGGGTAGTGCTGGTGGTGGGGGGTCCTATCTGAACCCCAGATAAACCCCCTCGATTGAACCGGCGCGTCCCAGCGATGCACGCGCGGCGCCCGGGGTACTGCTGCTCCTGAGGCCGGGAGAGACCCCCCGGGACCCCCCCCCCCCACCCCCCCCCCGGGGAAACCCCGTGAAGGGGACCCACCGGGACCCCCCCACCCCCCCGGGGAGACCCCGTGAAGGGGACTCTGGATGCCGGCGCGAGGCTCTGCGAGGCGGCCCCACAGCAGACCCCCATGCCTCCCCCGCGCGGCTGCGAGCCCCCATCGGCGCGGACGAGAGCGACCAGAGGGGTGAGTCCTCCACAACCACAACAACCACTACTCCCACTACTCCCACCACAACTACCACCACCACGCGCCTCGCAACCACCCCCACAACCACCCCCACCACCACAACCACCACCACCCCCACAACCACCACCATCATCACCCCCACAACCACCACCACCCCCACAACCACCCCCACAACCACCACCACCCGCACAACCACCCCCATCATCACCCCCACAACCACCCCCACCACCACCCCCACAACCACCACCATCCGCACAACCACCCCCATCATTACCCCCACAACCACCACCACCCCCACAACCACCACCACCCGCACAACCACCCCCATCATCACCCCCACAACCACCACCACCCGCACAACCACCACCACCCCCACAACCACCACCACCCGCACAACCACCACCATCACCCCACCACAACCCCCACCACCACCCCGCGTCTCGCGACCACCCCCCACAACCACCCCCATCATCACCCCCACAACCACCACCACCCCCACAACCACCACCACCCGCACAACCACAACCACCCCCACAACCACCACCACCATCACCCCCACCACAACCCCCACCACCACCCCGCGTCTCGCGACCACCCCCCACAACCACCTCCCTAAAAAAAATCCCAGACCCCCCGTAAATGTTGTGTACCCCCCCCCCCTGACCCCCGAGACTGAACCCCCAAATGCGGTCCCCTCGGATCCCCGCTCGGGAGGGTCCCACGAGGCCGCCGCGTCCCCTTGAACCCTCCTGACCCCCTGACCCCTGAGGCGGACGCGACCCAGACAGACAGGGAGGGGTCTGTCTGCTGGGTCGATAGGGGTGTGCGTGGTGCCCGTGTGTGTGATGCCTGTGTGTGTGTGGTGCCTGTGTGTGTGATGCCTGTGTGTGTGTGATGCCTGTGTGTGTGTGTGTGATGCCTGTGTGTGTGGTGCCTGTGTGTGTGATGCCCGTGTGTGTGATGCCTGTGTGTGTGTGTGTGTGGTGCCCGTGTGTGTGATGCCTGTGTGTGTGTGTGTGATGCCTGTGTGTGTGTGTGTGATGCCTGTGTGTGTGTGTGATGCCTGTGTGTGTGTGTGGTGCCTGTGTGTGTGATGCCTGTGTGTGTGATGCCTGTGTGTGTTTGTGTGATGCCTGTGTGTGTGTGATGCCTGTGTGTGTGTGATGCCTGTGTGTGTGATGCCTGTGTGTGTGTGTGATGCCTGTGTGTGTGTGTGATGCCTGTGTGTGTGATGCCTGTGTGTGTGTGCGTGGTGCCTGTGTGTGTGATGCCTGTGTGTGTAGGGTGTGTGTAGGGTGTGTGTGTAATGTGTGTGTAATGTGTGTGTAGGGTGTGTGTAGGGTGTGTGTAGGGTGCCCGTGTGTGTGATGCCTGTGTGTGTGTGATGCCTGTGTGTGTGGTGCCTGTGTGTGTGTGATGCCTGTGTGTGTGTGATGCCTGTGTGTGTGTGTAGGGTGTGTGTGTAGGGTGTGTGTAATGTGTGTGTAGGGTGTGTGTGTGTGCAGGGTGGGTGTGCGCAGGGTGGGTGTGCGTGGTGCCTGTGTGTGTGCGTGGTGCCTGTGTGTGTGTGTGTGTGGTGCCTGTGTGTGTGTGTGGTGCCTGTGTGTGTGGTGCCCGTGTGTGTGATGCCTGTGTGTGTGATGCCTGTGTGTGTGATGCCTGTGTGTAGGGTGTGTTGGGTGTGTGTGTGTAGGGTGAGTGTGTAGGGTGTGTGTGTGTGTGTTGCCTGTGTGTGGGGTGTGTGTGTGGTGGGGTGTGTGGTGCCTGTGTGTGTGATGCCTGTGTATGTATGTGATGCCTGTGTGTAGGGTGTGTGTGTGTGTGGGGTGTGTGTGTGGGGTGTGTGTGGTTCTGTGTGTAGGGTGTGTAGGGTGTGTGTGTGTGGTTCTGTGTGTAGGGCGTCTGTGTGTAGGGTGTGTAGGGTGTGTGTGTAGGGTGTGTGGTGCCTGTGTGTGTGTGGTTCTGTGTGTAGGGTGTGTGTGTAGTTTTGTGTGTAGGGTGTGTGGGTTGTGTGGTGTCTGTGTATGGTACCTGTGTGTGGTTCTGTATGTAGGGTGTGTGTGGTTCTGTGTGTGGTTGTGTGTAGGGTGTGTGTGTGGTTCTGTGTAGGGTGTGTGTGTGTGGTGTGTATGTAGGGTGTGTGTGTGGTTCTGTGTGTAGGGTGTGTGTCTGTGGTTCTGTGTGTAGGGTGTGTGTGGTGTCTGTGTGTGGTTCTGTGTGTGGGGTGCCTGTGTGTGTGGTTCTGTGTGTGTGGTTCTGTGTGTGGTGTGTGTGTGTTTTCATGCTTAGGTTGTGTATCGCCCTGTGTGTAGTAGGGTGTGCGTGGTGCCTGCGTGTGGGGCGTGTGCTTTTGGCTGTGTGCGGGGTGTAGGTCTGGCTGTGTGGGAGGGTGTGTGCGCCTTGATTGGGGTTACGTCAGTCCACGCGTGTCTAGACGTTACCCGGCGCGTGGGCTTGAAGGGGGTGGGGTGAGATGGTGGTGGTGGGGGGTGGTTAAGGGGTGTGCACAGTGTGGGTGTGGGGAGCCACCGTAGTTTGATTCCCGCTCACGGCCGAACACTGCACCGGTCCGGCGCCTCCCCTAGGTCGACTCGGCCTCAAATGAGTTCCTGGTGCGGTGTGCAGTAAGCATCGCCACTAGGGGAGACAAAGGCGGCCGGGCGTGGTGCTGGCCACCCCACACAACCCCCGTTCGCGTGCGGCGCCGGCCTTCATGGGTGCTGCTCGCTAACAGCACTTGCCCCATACACAGTCTTGGGATCACGTGGGGTGTTGGAAGGCTGGCTCCGCCTCCTGGCAAGAGGTCACGGGACAGGGCCCCCTGGCCTCCAGGTGTTATGGGTTGACCGATTGAGGTAGGAGACTGGGAAGATTGCACCAACCTCTGCGGAGTTTTATCCACCCGGCGGCCTGCGCTCGTTGTTGTGAGCATCGTTTCTCTGCCCCTCCGTTGATGCGGTTGGATGGCGACTGCCTCCAACGCCCAAAGACGAAGGTCCCCCGTGTAGCCTTTAACAGGCTGTTGGGGCAAGTGCTGTTAGCGAGTACCTATGAAGGCCGGCACGGCACACGAGGGGGTGGGTTGCCAAAACCATGCCCGGCCGCCTTTGTCTCCCCAGTGACGATGTTTACACACCGCACCAGGTACTCATTTGAGGCTGACCTAGGGGAGGCCCAGGACCGGTTCAGATAATCGTCACTGGTGTTGGCCATGATTGGGAATCGAAGCCGGATAGCCAGGTTCATAGCGCAGCGCGCTAACCGCTACACTACCGCTCCCCCACACTCACACACCCTTAGACACACACACGCCCAGACACACACACACCCCAGACATACTGTACACCCACTCACACACCCCATACACACACCAACCAACACACGCCTAGACACCCACACACTCCCTCACATCCATACACCCAAACCCTCAAATCGACATACATCCCCTCACACACACACCCCTCACACACACACCCCTCACACACACACCCCTCACACACACACACCCTCACACACCCACCCTCACACTCCCACACACTCCCAGACACCCTCACACACACACATCCACACACGCCCAGACACCCACACACTCAAACCCTCATATACACACACACTCACACACACACCCCCCCTCACACACACACACACCCTCACACACACATCCACACACGCCCAGACACCCACACACTCAAACCCTCACATACACACACACTCACACACCCCCCCTAACACACACTCACACACACACACCCTCACACACACATCCACACACTCCCAGACACCCACACACTCCCTCGCATCCACACACCCCACACACACACCCACCCACTCGCAATACCTACTCACACACCCACCCACACATCCACCCACCCACACATCCACCCACTCACACACCCACCCACTCACCCACACACACATCCACCCACTCACCCACACACAGATCCACCCACCCACTCACAAACCTACTCACCCACCCACACATCCACCCACTCACAAACCCACTCACACATCCACCCACTCGCCCACACACACACACATCCACCCACCCACTCACAAACCTACTCACCCACCCACACATCCACCCACTCACAAACCCACTCACACATCCACCCACTCACCCACACACACACACATCCACCCACCCACTCACAAACCTACTCACCCACCCACACATCCACCCACTCACAAACCCACTCACACATCCACCCACTCACCCACACACACACACATCCACCCACCCACTCACAAACCTACTCACCCACCCACACATCCACCCACTCACAAACCCACTCACACATCCACCCACTCACCCACACACACACACATCCACCCACCCACTCACAAACCTACTCACCCACCCACACATCCACCCACTCACAAACCCACTCACACATCCACCCACTCACCCACACACACACACATCCACCCACCCACTCACAAACCTACTCACCCACCCACACATCCACCCACTCACAAACCCACTCACACATCCACCCACTCACCCACACACACACACATCCACCCACCCACTCACAAACCTACTCACCCACCCACACATCCACCCACTCACAAACCCACTCACACATCCACCCACCCACCCACTCACACATCCACCCACCCACCCACTCACCCACCAACACACGAACAGACATTCACAACACGCCCAGACACAACGCACCGCCACCACCCACGCACCACACTCGCACACCCCCTCAGCATCTTGATGGTGGTGGTGGTGATGATGGTAACGATGTTGCTGGTGATGATGGTAACGATGTTGCTGCTTGTGTTTAATGGCGATGACGCCGATAATGTGGTTGTTGATGTATCAGGTGGTGTTGCAGCTGTTATCCTCCTGCCGATGTTCCCGTGATGTTGTTTGGCTGATGTTGTTGATGTTTACTGCCGATGTTGCTCTCAATGTCGATGGCGATGTTGCCTGAAACGTTTTTCTGGCCGGCGGAAAGAAATTGTGCTGTCCGATGGCGATGGACCTT